AGCCCGGCCCTCGCCCACCAATCAGCGCCCGGAGAGCGGCTCCGCTCGGTCGCACCACCCAGGCAGCGGCCGCGAGGGGCCCTGGCACCGCCCCCTTCGGCTCGCACTCCGCCTTAGAGGGTTGGGGGTAGGGGGTAGAATCCCCGCCCGCCGAGGGCGCCTCTTCCAGGTTGGGGTCTCCCGGTGCCCAAAGCTCCGCTGACGGTCCCCTCTCCCGGAGAGTCCTTCCCGTCCCGCCCCCTGGCTAGCCCCCCCTGCCATCCAAGCTGCTGCAGCGGTCCTCTTCCTCCAGGAAGCCTTCCCTGACCACCAGGGACGGACTGCTCCGCCTACTGCGGAGCCCTCACGCCTCTTGCTGGTCCTCCCACTCCTCTAACTAGAGAGCCAGCCGTTCTGGTCAGGAGGCGAGTCCATCCCCAGTGCGAAGGGCAGAGCCTGCGAGCAAATGAAGGAGATCAGGGTCCCGTCCCAGTCTCACCCTCCCTTCCCTTACCTGGGGTCGGGCGGGGGTAGCTCGTCTTACTCCGAGCCCTGCTCAGAGGATTATCTGAGCTTGCCAAGCTCAGGACCTGCATCAAGACGTCTCCTCATGAACGCTGATCGTTGTACATGGGCCGGGACCCTGCTCCTCGGTTACAAGGATGCCCACTTCCCTGGGGAAATCCACTCAGCAGGGGGAAGGCTGCGCCAATCTAGCCGGAAGTGTCCCTGACACCTCTGAGCTGGAGAGCACTCTTGTTCCCATCAGGCCAGGCATTCTACTCTCCAGGTGCCAAAATTCAAATCGCAAACCCGGTGACACCCCAGAAAAGCCAGGACACAGGTGCTCAGGTCCAGGGGGGGCCAAAGGCTGAGGTGAGCACCCTGGCAGAGAGGGACTTGGCCTGGGTCTGAGGACCTCAGGGGAGTCGGGAAGAGGCAGGGTTGAGCCAAGCCTGGGTACCAGGCCTCCCCTTTGTCTCCCCAGAGCCTCTGACCGCCTTCCAGAGGCAGCAGTGAGGTGTAATGGCTACAGGCGTGGTCCCAAGTCTGGGCACTTCACATTCACCAAATGGGACCTCAGGCAAACACCTTAATCGCTTTGATCCCGAGTGACTCTTCTGGAGGAGTTACTAACACCAGACTCACGGGGACAGAGGATTCCAATGCGTTAATGTGGGCCAAGCGCTTGGCACAATGCCCGACCCATCCCGTACCATAGTGAGCGAAGCGCTCAGTAAATATTAGCTGGTATTAGACTGCGTTTATTCTTAAGTGTCTTTTGTACATAACTGAATGGCAAGTGTTTATTGACTTCCACAAGCCAGGTGCTCTGGGAAACCCTTCAGTGAGGAGGCCATGTGACAGCCTTGAGC